TCAAATGCATGGATTTGCTCACATCAAATGCATCACACAGAAGCACACGGGTCACTTCTCACAAACTATGAGCACGGACAAAGGGGTGACTCTAGAGGGTCCAACTGAGCAGTGCATCATTAATCCAAGAGGGTGGGGGGATTTCAAATGGGGAAGTGGAGGGAGTCAGGATCATGGGAAAACATCCTTCTGGAGGTGACCATCAGGAGACCCGGCCCTGAGATGAGGCCTGATCTGCGTCCCTCCCGTCCTACCCCAGTGGTGCCAGCAGGCAAGGCCAGGCCAGCATGGACAGGGAGGGGAGGCTGGGGAAGGTGGGGCCCAGCGTGGGTCGGTGCCCACGGTGCCCGACATGTGGCAGCACCTTGGTGACTCTGCTGTCCCTTCTTAAAGACAGACGTGCTTATTATTATGGGAACAGCTACTGAGAGACTGGCCCCAAAAGACAAAAAGACAATCAGGTGGTGTTTATACAGTTGCTTTTCCAAATTAAGGTTTTCACATTTTATAGAACAGTCTGTGTGTGTGTTCACTTTTGCTACTGTCCACAACAAGACATAAGTGCTCCAAGTAAATCACGTATCTTGCAACCCCCCCACCCCCTGGCCACCCGCACTTAAAAGCTCACCCTCCTAGGAAATGCCCCAACAAGCCTGTTTGGTCATTTGAAATACTTTGATAGCCTCTTCCTGGGTTGCCCTGCGAGGCTCTATGCAGTTTGTGAGAAGTTTCCCCCTGGCCCCGTTACATTCTGGGGAAGTTGGGGTGGGGGATGTGGTCGCAATGTGTACAAGAAGCAAAATGGGAGGGGACTGGAAAATAATTTTTTTAAAAAAAATTGAGTAAAGCAATGAGGCCGTGAGTCTTTTCCAAGAATTAAAAATGAAAAAAAGAACGTTCATTCAAACAGGCAGCTAGGACAGAGTTTCAGTGGACACCGACAGCAGCGGGGGTGGCCCAGGCCGGGCCCGTGTCCTCTCTCTAGAAATGGTAGCAAACCCCAATTTGTTATGCCTCTCTTAAGAGCTAGTTGATAAAAATTATGTCTTGTGAAATCGGCAAATAGTCTGCAAAGTGAAATAAGAACAGAAATTAACAGATTAAACTGAAATGAGAAGTCCAGAGGGGGGAAAAGAGAGGAAGCAGGGAGACCACTGGAGGCGATCGTACTCGTTCCAGACCGGATCCCAGCACTGACCCGAGCACTGGGCGGGGCGGATACCTGAGCATGGGAGGAAAGAGACGCTCCCCGCTCCCCGAGCGGCTGGTCACCAGCCAGCCCTGCTAGGAAAGAACCGCTCCCCAATCCAATAATGATCCGAAGGCGCCTGGCCCTCTCTCTGGAACATCACATTTATTCTCGCAGAATCCCAAAGGGTGGCAGAGGCAGGCGCTGCCTGACACAGCCCGGGTGGCCAGAAAGGCCGTGGCAATGCCATGGCACACGGATGAAGTGAAAGTGACATTGGGACCCCCAACTGGGTGAATGAGATGGGTGTTCACAGGAAGGGCAAACTCGGGTGGAAAGGAAGACCCTGTGCGAAGGGATGCGTCTTCCCCAAAGGGGGTCCAGGCTGCCTGGTCTGTGAGTGAAAACAGGATGGAGAATCCCAGAGCCCTCTGGGGCTTGGGTGTGCCCTCGTCTCTCTCAGCTACCTGTCTCGCCTGCCCGCTCAGGAAGGGGCTAGAAGGGGCACGGGATCCACACACAGTGGAAGGGGGGCTGGGAGTGGGCAGTGGGTGATGTGGGCAAATAGTGAGGACACTGAAAAGAAAGACCACAGGAAAAAACATCAGGACAGTCAATGATGCGACAGTTACAGGACCCCAGGGAATGGCAGGGGCCAGCAAAGCCCACCTGGCAGGGGGAGAGGGCAGAGGGCAGAGGGCAGAGGGCTGGGCTGCCCCACCTCTGGGTTCCCCTGTGTGGCAGCTGCCTCAGCCAGGTCCACTGGAAACACTCAGCAGCACGAGGTGAGAGACGGTGGTCAGAGCATTCCAATGCCTCCCTGCCCAGTGGTCCTGCCTCTGAGGCCAAGGCTCCCGAGGGGTCAACTTTGGTTCTAGAGGGCAGCAGCCAGTCCCTGAGCTCTTGACTGGGACGGCACAGGGGCCTCCCTGGGCTTTGTGTCCAGTGCCACTGGCTGCTTGGTGAGGCACCTGGTCCAAGCAGACGGGCTGATGCTTCCCAAGGGCAGCTCCTTCACCAGGTGGGTCAGGAGAGGGAGGGACTCTGACCCCAGCCTGGCTCCTTGCTGAGAGGGTGGGTGGTGAGGCCGGCCTGGGGCCTCTCACACCCTTACCTGCCCCAGGAGCCACTGGTGGCCCCTTTCTGGCCATCTGTCAAGAGAAACAAGAGGCTTCCGTGGTGTGAACGGGAAGGATGGGGAAAGTTTGGAGGCTGAGGGGAACAGAGCAGCTAACTCCCACAGCTCAGGGAGCCGCTGTCTGTACGTTTTAATGCTCGATTTCTGTCCCATGCAAATCCAGCTTATTGCATTAGCTGCAGGAGCTGGTGTCAGTGGTAACGGCTGTGCCCTGGGCATAATCACTCCACCCCCACTCCATCCCCTGCCCCCTAAAACTGACCCCTAGTCTCCAAAGCCTTGGTTTCTGATGAAGGGCTGGCACCCCTGGGGACCCCACCTCATTCTGCCCAGCCTCGGTTTGGTCATTCTTGCATGTCTGTCCGTCTGGGGCAGAGCCAGCGCTGCAGGTCAGGGAGACAGAGGTCTACCAGATGTCTCCTGAGCCGGCTCACGGGGGCTGGGGGGCAGGCTCTCAAGTGAGACAGGGGCCTTAGCGTGGGGCCTACTTTGTTGCCTTCGAAATGATTCCTTGTTATGATTCCCCAAGTCTGCCCTCCTGGGACTAGCGCCGCACTGAAGGGAGGCAGGGCCAGGCGCACGGGTCAGTGTGGCACTCTCAGGGGGCTGAGATGCCTGAGTCTATGCATCCGTCACCGCCTGCGGAGGAAGCAAGAGGAGAAGCTCCCCCCTCCACCTGCCACCAGCTCCTGGGCTGAGCAGGACAGGAGGGAATGGAGCACCAGGGTGCTGACCGGATGGGTCTCTCGGGGAGGGGCGGTGCACACACGCATGAATGTGTGTGACCCACGTCCCCCCACCACAACACACCTCTTCCTTTAAGCTCCAGAACAGCGCCATCCCACAGAACTTTCCATGGGGAGGGACATGTCCTACACTCTGTGCTGACAGCAGCCACTAGCCACAGGTGGCTACTGAGTACTTGAAATGTGGCCAGTGTTACTAAGGAATTGAATTTTTCTTTTTATTTAATTTTAATTAATTACAATCTAAGTTTTAACACTACATGTGGCTCGTGTTACGGTCCCAGGCCAATGGCCGCTAGGGAGATGGTGGATTGTGGCAGTTAAGACCCAGACCACCTCGACCAGGTCCTGGCCTGCCCCTGGCTCACTGCGAGCCCTTGAAAGAGAGGTCCTCTACCTCTCTGTGCCTGGCGGTCTCCACCTGCAGGTGGGGACAGTCTAATGAACGCCTGGCCCGAGTGCCGGCTTCTCTGCGGTGCTGTTTCTGGTGCAGACTCCCTCCTCCTACTGGTCCAGAGCCCATGGCCATCCCAGGAGCCATCTGTATGAGAATCTCTGGGGAGGCCTTCTGTAGCGCAGGGTCCCTGCAGAGGGCCCCTCCCAGACGGGGAACCACCTCAGCCCCGGGGACACTCTCATTCCTCCATCTCCAACTCCTGCTGCTGTACCTGCCTTCCCCTCCCCCTCTGACCCACACAGAGAGCTGCGCAGACCCCCGTAGACCTCCCGTCTACAGAAGAGAGAAGTGAGGCCTGACAGGTTGGGTGACCTGCCCGTGGCCACTTGGCCAGCTGGTGTCAGAGCCAGGGGCTTCCATCGCTGCTCGAGGGATCTGTCCACCATAGGGCATGGCTCTAAGCACCTCCCCAACACACCTTCCCCCCACCAAAGCTCCGCCCGAGCCCCTCACCCTGCCCTCATGTCATCAGCCTCAGAGCACTGTCCTCTCTTCCCTTCCTAATTCATCTCACACCCTGGCGCTCCCGGGACTCCCAGGAGCGAAACTCTGGCAGCCCAGCTTCCTCGCGGAGCCTCCTCCCTCAGCAGGGGACCCACAGGGGACAGGACTCTGTTGCTAGCACCTTCTCTAGAAACGTCAGCTGTCCTCTGCACACAACACCCCTAAGTACCCCCGTATATTTTCACCTGTACTCCCAAGCTTGGGAAAGGCTGGCTGACTCCCTCCAGGGACGCATGAAGCCCCATAAAACACCACTTCCTTCATCACCCCTCCCCGCATCTCTACAGGACCACACGTCCCCTTGCTGCTCCCCTGGGGGGGACCCAGGCCTGGCAGCTACCTCGGAGCTGGAGCTGGAGCAACCCGGCGTGTGGCAGACATCGCTGTGGGCTCTGCGTCCTGCCTCTGACGCCCACACAGCGGGAAAAGAGAATCTAAACAGCCCCACACAGGACGGACAGCAAACCCAAACCCCGGCAGCACAGCACCACACACACCAGAGGGGCACTAAAGCCAGAGCAGTCAGGACCCAGAGGGAGGAGGAGAGGAGGGGAGGGAGGGAGGTCAGGGAGACTCAGACAGCGTGCACGTGGACGCGGGGTGCGGGGGCTGGGGGAGGGAAGAGAGTGCAAGAAAACCCTGGGCCTAGACCTCAGCACCAAGGGAGAAAAACCTGAAACGGGCTTCGGAAAAAGGAGGTGAGCAGAGGGAGGTAGCCTGTCTCGGTTCCCTTCCTTTCCCTTTAAAAGTCGCTGCTCTCAAATACCCAGCACCAGTGAAAGACTGCAGTTAATCAGAAACTCTGGGCTGCATCCTGACCCCGGACTTCAGTGGATTTCAAATTTAGCACATACAGGTCGTTTCTCAAATGGATGCACGTTCAAGCTGTGGGGAGGTCCTCCCGCCTCCCTGCAAACGCAGCCCACCTCCCGTGTTTCCAAAGCCCAGGGAGACCAAGCCACTCACCTGGGAACTGATAGCCATAGCTAGGAGCAAATCCGGGGTAGCCTCGGCCATAGGTTGCCACAAAGTTGGGGTAGCCTTGAACACAGAGAGAGAGATCAGAGTGCCATTAGTACAGCTGCCTCAGCTCTGGCGTAAGATCTCAGGGAGGGTGGCAATGAGTTATTTTCCTTCACAAAATGATTTGTCTCCTGTGAGGGTCTTTACCAGGGGCCCGGGTCACCTCTCTCCCGTGGCTGGGGGCGCTGCTGTCAGCTGCTGGTAATTTACCCGAATTTGGGCAGCCAGACCCCCCAAAGCCCATGCACTTTCTTGAACCTGCAGAGTAAATGCCATGTATTAGCACCAGACACAGGGCCCGCGCCTGGCTCTGACATTTGGAGAGCTTACCCTGCGTGCGCTTTACCTTAAAGCTATTGACAGTAGGAGATTAAAGTCCTTGTAATACCTCCTCCCAAGGCGGTGGACAACAGGGCCAGCACCAGACGGAGCACGGGCTCCTGGGGGGGTCTCGGTTCAGTGACCAGACTCAGGGCTGACCGGGAGTCTCTGGAAAACCACAGCCTGGGGGCAGTGGGTCCCCAAGGCCCCTGTCCTAGCATGGACACTCCACAGAGGTGCCCGTACCTTTGAAAGACCCTGGAGAGTGGTTGAGGGGCTGGGTGTGTTAAGACGTCCACCATGAAGAAAAACTCTGCTGCCAAGTCCCGGTGCTGGTGTGACCTTCTCCGATCTGTCACTAAAGCCCCAGTGAGGTCATCATGCCCACTCAAGCTACTTCCCTCTTTCTGTGCCTGCCTCTTGACTCAGGCTGCAACGAAGGCTGATGTGGCCTTCCTGGACTGACACTTCGCTGGCTACAGAAGATCCATGGCTCCCCCCTGGTCCCACCCCACCAGGCTCACCTTGCCTCCCTCTCCTCCATGTATGGGTGACCTCAGTACATTCACCATGGCCACCCTACGGCCACCAACAGCTTGACTTTTGCTTTGACCTCTGAGGTGAATGTCAGCCATTGTTTTTTGGCTGTCCAGCACCTGAACCCCCTCCCTGGGTGTGAGCCTTGGGGAGGAGCCTGGCTCCCACCAGGGAAGCGGAAAAGGCCTCCCTCCCGCTCTTCCTGGATGCAATGCAAGGCTTCCTCAGGGTCTGCCGCTGTAGCCAGTGGGGCAGAGCAGCAGGGGGTGGCCCAGAATTTATTCTGGCATCAGCAGCAGCATCCAGCACCTGACAGTGGCCACAGTGGCCCCTGACTAGGTCACTCCTGGGTTGTCCCCCTGGCTAGGGCTGGGGCTCTGACCACCCAGCTCGCCCAGCTCCTGCCTGTTTTCCGAGTCCTGCTCCACAGTCCAGCCTTCCTGTCCATTCTGTGCACTGCCCAAGCTCCTTCCAGTCATCTCCTTTGCTACCTCCAGCAACCAGACTTGTTTCTGTTGTTTGCCACCAACATGCTGGGTAGAAAATTATTTTGATGGATGGGTTTGTGACAGTCTCCGGGCTCCCCAGTGAGGACAACAGTGACCACTTTCCACGTGTGTCCCTGCCCTTCTACACAACCCCCTAACACGCATGCCTAAACACAGCTCTGGGGTCTCATCACCCACTCCCCAGTGGATTCTCGCATGCCACACCAGCCACTTTCTGACCCTGCAAGTGGGTCCAGCTCGCCTGCATGCTGTTGTCTTCCTCTGCCTGTCCAGAGCTGTCACGCCTCAGAGGTCCAGGGATGGGGCCCATGGTCCCTCACCTCCCTGCAGATGTTGGTTTTGTACCTTCAGCCTGCGGTCAGTGGATCTACCATCAGGCCCAGATCAGAAGCTCGCTGGTCTAGAAGTCCGGAGACTTGGGTTCAAGTCCTGCCTCTGGCCCCAAACCATGTCCCTGGGGTTGCTATGGTCTGAATGTTTGTGTACCGCCCAAATTCATATGTTGAAATCCTAACCCCCAAGATGATGGCCTCAGGAGGTGGGGCCCTTGGGAGGGTGCCTTACAAAAGGGGCCCCAGAGAGACCTTCACCCCTTCCAACATGTGAGGACACAGTGAGAAGGTGCCATCTATGAGGAAGTGGGCCCTCGCCAGAGAAGGAATCTTCTAGTGCTTTGATCTTGATTTCCCAGCCTCCAGAAATGTGAGAAATGAATGTCTGTTGTTGATACTCAGCCTATGGTATTTTGTTATAACATCCTGACCTAACAGAGATAAGGGTCTTCCCTCTTCTCCCGGAGCGTGAATCCCCCCACCTGCAGAAAGTCTTGCAGGTCCCTGCAACACTGCTGGGCCCAAACTGCCCAGTGAGCCCAGCTGCGGCTCCTTCTCCTTGCTTCAGCCAGAGCCATGCCGAATCTGCAGTCACAGCTCACTCGCTGGCCCGCGCAACTGTCTCTCCCTCCACAGGGTCCTGCCCTCCCCGGAGTGACTCGTTCCTCCCTGAGTGTCTGTTCCCAGCACTTGGTGTCTCACTGACAGAAGGCTGCCAGGCAGACAGTGACCCAGCAGCTTGGCAGTGACCGCTAACTGAGGAGCAGGAGCCCAGTGGGGCGCAGAGCTCAGACACCCCTGGGGAAAGAGAGCAAAAGGGGCAGAGGTCAGCACCCAGAGGCCTTAAAGGGACACACACACACACACACACACACACACACACACACACACTGGCTCCTTCCTTGGTATTTATTTCATGGCTGGGGCAGCTCAATTCTCCTCTAAATTAATCACCTGCTATCAAATCAGATCTTTCAGCACTAGATTTCTTATACCATTATTTCAACAATATTGATAAACGGATTATATGCAAACAGCCAAATCACTGCTGCCTAGGGGCCTTGCTGATGAAAAATGGCTCCTTTGCTTCTAACTTCAGAGCTGGGGGTCTTAAATATTTTAGTGTTAATCTGACAGCAAAAGCATAAGCCCACGTGTCAGCTTCCCTCAGAGAAGGTGGGTGATGGGGGACCGGCCGGCCGGTCCCTCCCTGCACTCAGGCCACCAGTAAGGGGCAGTCACATCTGCTTTCTTCCTGGCCTTCCCACAAGTCTTCAACAGGAAAGAAAAAAAGTGTGGTCAAGTTCACCCCAACTCTGGGTGTCACCCCACTCTTCCTGGACACGTCAATATCATTGTCCCCTGAACAATGGAGATGAGAATCCAGCCTGTGCCAGAGCGGGGGATCTTCTCTCTACTCCCCATTGCCGAACATCCTCTAGGTCAGGCAGATGAAATCATAAATTTATAATACAACATTACTTCAATTTTCCTCTTCATTTACTGCTGTGCAGCCCAGCTCTGCTTGAACAGCTCCCAGCCCCGGCCACACGGGGGAAATTGGCTGGCTGCATATCAATAGCACATTACGGCAGGCCCACGCTGACGCTCCATCAAGCCACATTATAGCGGGATGACCCAGCCACCACTTCCGTTAGCAGCCGGGCCCCTCCTGCACTGGCCACTGCACAATTTATTTGCTCCAATACTCTGGACACCTGATCAATCCAGCAGTAATTATCTCTTGTCACTGAAGTATAAAAAAAAAAAAAAAAAAATAACCGTACAATTTGACTGAAGTATAAAAAAAAAAAAAAAAAAAAAACAACAACAAATCAAGCCTTCTGCCTGGATGGCCACCTCTCTTGCAGATCGGCTTTCCATTGTGGGAGCAAAATACAGAAATCGACAATAGAATTTGGATTTGCCAGCGAGCTCATTTCAGGGCCCTATTTTAGGGAGGCTGGCAGGGTTCTCAAAATTGTGGTTCTAGGTCTTTGCTCCAACCCTAGAGATGTCTGCATTCTAGACGCATCTGTGACTCATCTTCTCCCAGGCTCTGTTACTCAGCTACTCGGAGTCATGGAAAACTGCTCCCACCAGGCCCCGGACTTGAAAGAGACAAGAGACAAGGGCTGTTTATCCAGGAAACTGCCAGAGTGTGACCCACCTGTCTGCCTCACGGTGTGCAGAGCACTGCTTGGGCCACCACATCGGCTCCATGAGGTCCACAAACAGACCAGACACCAAGTGCCGAGAGCCCTTCCCAGGCAAGGAGGTGAAGGCCATGGTCTACAACAATGCTCAGCCCCCAGAACCACCCTGCGTTGCAGGGGCCCCTCCAGACCTGTGCTGTCCAAATTACATCAATTTATAATTTAAATTATATGCAACAAAAACTTCAGGTCCTCAGTCACGCAAGCCACATCTCAAGGGCTTAGCAGCTAGTGTGCCCATGTGGCTAGTGGCTACCATACTGGCTGGTGCAGATGGGACCTTCCTTCCCTCACAGGAGGTTCTACTGGGCCGCACTGCTCTAGGGAGACAGTGAGGGACCGAATTCTGAGTGTCTTCCGTCCACGATGAAAACAGCTGAACAAATGAACATCTCCTTGAGAATGACCTAAACAGGTATTTTTGGGAAAAACCACATCCCCGTTGAAATTACCAACGAGCCTAGATGTGTGGCTGTAAGTTCCAGCCAATCTCCTTTTGATCTGTTAGCGAATGCCAGCAGATTATAGCTTCCTAGCCCCTCTTCTAAGCAATCATTTATTTTTTGCTTCCACTGCAGAGGAGCTTAACGTCGGGGAACACTCGGTCAGGATTTCACGGGGGCTTCTCAGTACGAGTGCAGGTAAGAATGCTTTTCGCTAAAGTGCTTTAGCTGGTCAACAGCGTCTCTCCTTTTCTGGGCTCGCCCAGGGGAAGCTGCCCTTCCAGGCCCCAGCGATGCACTACTTCTCTAACACTGGTATCAACATGTTAAATAAATAGCGTGTGCCCAATGAGGCCACGAGAGCTCAAGGCAGTAGGATTATGTGGCTGAGGGCAGAGAAGGCTAAGGGGAATCAAATATATCAACAATCAACTTTTATTAAGTCCACTTTCATTAAGAAAAACTAGAGAGATGCTACTGCATTGAGCTGGATAACTGTGAACAACCCGTTGCTGCTGCCAGGCCGTGGAACACAGTCTGAGGGGCTGCAAAAGACCTTTCCTAAGGGTCTCAGTTGACTTGGTTTTGTCCTGCTCGAAGGTGGGGAGATCTGGACCAAGGGTAACGCTGCCCCTTCTCTCTTTCATTCTTTTTCTGGAATTCCTATTGGACTGATTGTCCTATGATTCAGGGTGTGAAAGCTGAAATCAACACAGGTGAAGGTTTTCCCCAAGGATGTCTGCAGCCCTATCAAGACTGATCAAGAAAGAATAACTGTGCAACTACATGCTCATCAGTCTCCCTTTGATGAGACCTCCCAAAGTATGGAGATGGTCTTAGAGGATATTTAAAAATTCGTTCCACAGGGTCCAAGTCCTTTGTTGGTTGTCTCAGATCCCTCACGACAATGTCAGCTCCCCGAAATCAGAGGCTTTGTTCTCTGTTGCATCTTTAGCGAATAGAACAGTGGCTGGCACGTAGCAGGTACTCAATAGTATTTGTTGAATGAATGAATTTTCACATTTTAATGGTTTATAGTCTCATTTCTAAAAAAACTCCCTAGAAGTGCCATCTATTTTTTCTGCTCTTCCAACAATAAAAGTTTAAATCACCGAAACCTCATCTCATTCCATTCATTCATGAATTTTTAAAAAATGTTTTTCTGCAAGAGCCAAGTTCATCAGCTAAATTGTTGTTGGTGGTGACGGCAGCGATTCCAGGACTAGCATGCGGGCTTAGTGCGCCAAGGAAATGGTGACCTATGTGACCGGTGGGGGCACGTCAGGCCATCCCACCAAAGGATTACTCTGCCCAGTGCCACACTACCACTTCAAAGGGAGAAAGCACGAAGAAAGAGAGAAACGGTCTTTGATGATGGAGTCAAGGGCTTTAGTCACAGCACAGCACATGGCAGTCTCCTCATCCGGAGCGTCCAGGGGCCCAGGGCGCCAAGCTGTGCAAACGGGAGGAGCGGAGGGCAGCCCAGGGAGTTTCCAGCTGGGCCTTAGAGAAGGCTCAGCAGGAGACTCCGGCCTGGCTGGGGAAGCAACAGGCCAAGCAGACTGCGAGACTGTGAGCTCCTTCCCTGCATGCTGTGCCCGGTTCACCCTTCTGCCTGGACCTCAGGCAGAGCCGGTTACTGGCTGGGGGACACATTTCAGGACCTCTTAGGAGCCCCTGCTTGGCAGGCATATGGATGCCTCCCCATAGGGCTGTGGGATTCAGGAGGGCTAGGGGATGATGGGGCCTGGAGTCCAGCTCGTGGATCTTCATCAGAAGGTGGCAACTCAAGAATAATCCAGTTGCCACAGCACAAGTCACATCTGTGGGTCTAGCTGGGTTCTCAGCCACGGGTAGTAAGGAACTCCAGGGGGTATGGTGTTGGACACCTACCGGGTGATAATCTGCCCTGGCGCTCCTGGTGCCTTATTAATAACAGCTCCCAGTTTGAGCACATACTATTGTATCTTGCTGGTCTGAAGACTCACATCAGTGCCTCTGTGACCTGGGGTTGGGCTGGATGGGGCCGGTGGCGGCGGCGGGAGGGCTGTGTCAGGTGCCTGCTTTACTGTGGCTCGGGGAAGTCCTAACCGGAACGTGAGAGCACAGGGGAAGAGCTGGGGCAGGTGAGGAAGCCTCTGGCAGGCCTCACACAGCCATCCCTCCGTGAGCAGGCACTGCACGGAGCAGACGGAGTCTGCGCAAGCACAGGGGCCTCTGCAGGTGCTCTCAGGAAGGGGCTGCTCGGGTCTGCCCACCACTCCCCCTACTGGCACACACGCCTGCCCAGGCCAGTTGGCTCTTGGGGTCTCATGGCAGGATTCTGGCATTTCGAGGCTGTTCCTTCCAAATGGAAAGCCCCTGGCTCACTCATCCTTCTCACCCTGACTGAAAGGCCTCATTCCTCACACTGGCTTCCAGTCCTCATCATGCGCTCTCGAAGCACCTGGAGTCTCTGTTACGCTGAATGAAGTGTCTGTGCGATTAGCTGATACATGTTGGTCTCTCCCGATAGACTACCAGCTCCATGAGGGCAGGAATCATGTCTGCTTGTTAAATTCTGTGTCCCAGGGCTAGCCCAGGGCTGGATATGCAGTAGGTGCTCAAAGACTATTTGCTGATGAATGCCTCCTGCCCTCCTCCCTGCCTGGGCTCCCATTATGAAACCATGGGTGCCCTTCTGTTCCGGGACCCAAGCCTAGGTGTCTGTGGAGATGTCAGCCTGGGCCCTTCTCAGACTCAGGACCACTGAGCACGGGTGCGCTTTTGCTCTTTGTTGACTGACATGAGCTGAACTGGCTCTACTGCATACCTCTGCTTCTCCCTGATGAAAACCAGTGCATCTTCCTAGCATGCATGTATCAAGTTAGACTCAGAAAGGTGGGTACTTCCTGAAGATTTGGATCCTAAGAAGTCTCCCATTTTATGCTCTAGAGCTCTACATTCATTTTAAATTCAAGACTCCAAAAGCCGGCAGGTGGTAATGGGTTCAACTCTTTTTCTTTTCTGTTCTAATTTTTTTCAGAGATGGGGTTTTGCTATGCTGCCCAGGCTGCAGTACAGGGGCTATTTACAGGTGAGGAGATCCCACTACTGATCAGCACACAGGAGTTTTGACCTGCTCTGTTTCCAACCTGCGCAGGTTCACCCCTCCTTAGGCAACCTGGTGGTGCTCCAGGCCTGGGAGGTCACCATATTGATGCTGAACTTAGTGGTAAGTAGCTGGGACTATGGGTGTGCACCACTGTGCCTGGCTCAACTTTTTTTTTTTTTTTTTTGAGACAGAGTCTCACTGTGTTGCCCGGGCTAGAGTGCCGTGGCGTCAGCCTAGCTCACAGCAACCTCAAACTCCTGGGCTCAAGCAATCCTTCTGCCTCAGCCTCCCGAGTAGCTGGGATTACAGGCATGTGCCACCATGCCCAGCTAATTTTTTGTATATATTTTTAGTAGTCCAATTAATTTCTTTCTATTTTTAGTAGAGATGGGGTCTCGCTCTTGCTCAGGCTGTCGAACTCCTGAGCTCAAACAATCCGCCCGCCTCGGCCTCCCAGAGTGCTAGGATTACAGGCGTGAGCCACCGTGCCCGGCCCTCAACTTTTTTCTTTAAGGCTTGATTTCAACATTTTAAAGTATTAATTTGGAGTTTCCTTGGAAAAACAATATAGGGTAAAAACCAAATGAAAAGTATTTTTTAAAGCAGGAGTTAAGCAATTGTCTTATAGTCAACCAGGAAATAATTCTTACTGATTTTTTAAATGAATTTTTAATAATAATTACACTCTTACAACTAGATATATTTAATTTAGGCTCTTTGACTTTTTCTATCAACAAGTGCATTCCTATACACCATACTGTTTTAATTACTGTAGCTTTGTGTTACATTCTGATATTGGTCAAACTAGTCTTTTCTCATTTTTCTTTTTAAAAACATTTTCTTATTTATTCTCACATATGTCTTCTTCCAGGTAAGTTTTAGAATCATCTGGCCAACTTTTAAAGAATTAGGGTATGATTTTTCTTTGAAACTCTACTAAACCAAAAAAATTAATTTGAGAAGAATTAACATCTTGGCCATTTTTAATATTCTCACGGCTTCTCTCTCCATTTTATAAAGTTCCTCAAAATAGCTTTAGCTGCTCTTGTTATTTCATCCAACAAGGAGATACAATTCTTTGTAAGAGCAAGAAAAGTTTTATAAATTTAAAACTATGCCAGGAATGATTTAAACAGCAGCAAATCTGAAAATGCAGAAAGGGCTTATCAAACAATATAGAAGAGGGGCTCTTAACCAAACCAAATGAAAACCCATTAAAACTAGACAGCTCATGTGCCTGAATGGAATTTTACCATTAACTACCATTTATCCCATTTAATTAGTATTTTCCTGACACACAATAACTTCCACTCAAATACGGTTCTCTCGCCTTTAAATTTCTAATTATTGTTGCGACCCACGCTATTACGCATCTCCTCTGCTTTCTCCATCTTTCACGCCATTTAAGCGGTAAGATTTTCAATTACCTACGCGGGAAGGACAGAGATACCTTTAAGGGAAGGGGCATAATATGCAACTCAATTTCTCTAAAAGCCAGGAGAAATCATTTTTAGTCAGAACAAACACACTTTGTCTTTCATCATTTTTTTTTTTTTTTGGCAAATAAAGAGTAAAACAGGCTATTTAAAACATCCATTTAAATGCAAATTTTGATATCCCAAGAGAAAAATGTTAATCATTTAAATAGACAGGATTATCACCCACCCTTACCACTTCCCCTCCTCTCTCAAGTTTTAGAAAATGTAGCCTTAGCCCACATAAGTTAAGCCAGCCAGGAGTTCTCAGGTCTTCAGAACTCCTGCTCAGCTGAGGCAGAGGGAGAGACTTTGCTTCCTTTTGAGGAAGGGAACAGAAAAAGGAGAAACTAGTATCACGTATCCTAGGAGCCAGGCACAGGGCAAGATATTCATTTAATCACCACGATGGTCTCGGAAGGGAATTATCATCCCCATCTACAGATGAGGAAACTGAGGCCCGGACAAGTAAAACAGCCTGCTCAAGTGATAGGTGACCCCCGCTGGGAGTACAGGACGCCACAGCCCTCCCAAATCCATGGCGACCGTCCGGTCCAGACTCACCCAGCATCCCCATGCCCAGCATGAACGCATCCATGGTGTAAGGCAGTCCCCGGGCCCGGCCTCTCGTCCCAGGTGGGAACATGACTTCTTTCGGCTGAGCTTTCTTACATTCTACCTGTTAAACAGAAAGGCGAACAAATGAGATGCAAATGAATTCCACATAAATGTCAAATGCAGAACCGATCTGGTTACGAGCTAAGTTATTTTTAGCTTTGCTCCTTACTCACTGTAAAAATAGCCGTGCCGAGTAAATGGCCTGCAAAATAAATATTTAAGAAAACACGCCACTTGTGCACTTGTGCTTTGGAAAAACCTACAAGGATGAAATTGGGTTCTGGAGGGGCGGCAAGGACATAAGCTAGAGGTACACACGCATGGGCTGAAGTTCAGCCTGAAGCATGTGCAAAAGGTGCAATAGTTAAGGAGGCAGACGACGGTTGCTGGATGTGTCTGTGAATAACGACAACAACAACAGTAATAATAATCCCTCATGATTGGCCCTTCAAATATTTACAAATTCCTATGACGTCGTTCCTTTAGGCTAGTGCTCCTCACATGAGCCCATCTGATTCTAACTCTTATTAAATAAGCCATTTAGCTCCATTTCACAGATGAGAAAACCGAGCATCAGAAGGCTTGTGTTAACATGTTGAAAACCATCCCCAGCAGGTGCAGGCCTACACACCGGATCTTTTACAATTTCTAGGTCAGCGATGCCGCCATTTCCACAAAACCTGTGCCAGCAAACTCCCGAGGGAAGTAACAAGATTAGACACCGATTCTGTTCATCTGGATTACTGGTTTCTCATTTTGCAGCTACATCTTCAAGTGGTTGCTAATCTTTCCTTTCTGTTCCCCTTCTGACTCTAAAATTTCTTAATCCTATTCCACTTGCACACCCAGAGGTCACTTATTTAACAACCTTAATTACATGAAACGTGAATCTCGGGAAATAAGTAAAAAATGCAGCCAGCAGAAGCTCCTCTCCACTGTTTTAATGGAGAGCCTTAAGCTCGTGCTCAGTACTTACTTGCTTTTAGTTTACAGAGAAATTTAACCAGCATTTTGTCAGCTGGTCATCAATCCCATTGCTGATGAAATTGGGACGTTGTAGAGTAAGGCAGGGATGCTGATAGCAGCCAAAAGTAACAGCATGGCAGTCTGATAGTGATGGAAAAAAGACAAGAATCAGGTATCTTATTTAAAAAGCAGTCTGGGCCATATGGTACAGGAGCAAAAACTCCACGTGGCACAACAGCTGCTGAGGGTATCACTGTAACATGGAGAATTACTATTGTTCACAGAGCCCGAGACATCAAGAAAAAGTTAAATTGTGTGCAGTATACATTTTTTAAAAAGGGACCTATATGGGTTACCCATTTTGGAGATACTCTCATCCCAAATACTTCAATCCAAAAATATTTTAGTGCTTAAGGTTAGGGGGGATGCTTTAATTACTTAAAATATAACTCCTCTTTCTTCCAAGGCACCAGACGACAGGTATTATTTTTCCTCTTTCAAGAATAATAACCACAACTGCCTTAGCAAATGGACACAATGGTCCAACGTGCATGACTAATATGCTTCATACAAAGAGTTTTCATAGATTAAACGGAAAATGAACATCCCCAAAAGAGAAATGAGTAGAAGACATGGACAATTCACAAACAGCTAAGAAAGCAGCACACATCCCAAAAGTGAGATATATTTTTTTGCATACCGGATTGGCAGTGATGAAAAGATTGTTTGATGTAAAGGTTCCTAAGGGTATGGAAAAGAGGAGTGGAAATTGGCACATATTTTTTCTGGAGGGCAGTCTGACAATGTATCAAAAGCCATAAACGTACATAACCACCTAATAACCTTACCTCTAGGAATTTATCCTACAGGGCATATGGATAAGCTATTCACTACAAGCATTAATTATGGCTTTTTTATAAAAAAAGATACACCCTAAATATTCAATAACAGAGGATTAGTAAAGCTGAGTTTGGTTTATCCACACCGGTTGAATGCTAGGCAACTATGGAAAAGCACGATGATAACAATATGCACTGGGATTGGAAAACCCCTCAGTCCCAGGCAAACCAGGGCACTTGGTCAACTGTAAGAGGGAAAAAAAAAAGCAAATTACAGTGACTTTTTGGAAAATAAACATAAACATAAATGTATATGTCATAGAGGAAAAAAATACTCAAAAGATTTATCAGAGTTGTCTTAGATCAACTTTTTAAATTTCTATTGTGCATTTGCTATTGTTTATTTTCTAAGTTTTTTGCTAGGAACAAGCAGCAGGTTTTCATATGACAAAACAATAGATTGTCACCGATAGAACTATTAGGATATTATCATTGCAAGTAGGAGGGAAAGGTGATTAAAAAGAAATAAATTCATCCAAATAGAGCCTTTTAGGTTTCTCTCCTAAGCCCTGGGGTGACAACTGCCTCTGGGGACTCCAGAGAAGCAGGCTGAGAAAGCTCATTTGCATGAGCCTGCCCTGAGCCCCCAAAAATGGGCGTGCCCCGCACAGGCAGACAGATAATTACCTAACGCCAACACCACGATCGGGAATAATACCGCTAACCAGCTCACTTCCTAATAGCCCTATCGGTGACAATCTATTGCATTGTCTTATGAAAACCTGCTGCCTGTTCCTAAGCAACCTGATCAACGAAAATTTCAGGTTTATACAATTTTCATTTAGGAAACATAAAGGTTAACTGACTGTAATGGAAGTATTTTAAACAAACCCACCTACTCTTCCTCTCACTGAACAGGGCTGGCAGCTCTGTGGAATCCTGCTCTGTCTTTGCTGGTGGCATTTTGGGCAGCACCAACTGTGTGAGTTCTGCCAACCACACACCGTGTCAACGGTGAGCGCTCCCAGAGGCCAGAGGCCATGGCATACGCACTCTCTGGGGGACCCCCGGCCTGTCCTGGGCATTTGAGCGACAGGGAAAGGCAGCAGTCGCAGCAGGGAGCCTGGCCTGGCCTGCAGATTCTCAGGACCAGGAGGCCTGCCCACCGCCCCCAGCCCCCACTCCTGGAGACCCAGTCACTTAATTCAGTAACTCGATGCAGAGGAACCACACGTGCCTGGCAAGAGCTAAGCTTCGGGGGATGCACAGATACACGAGGCGAGCCCTGCCTCTGCGAGCTCGCATTCTAGTGACAAGGCACAGGCTCCCACTGGCTTGTCCTCCCAAGATCAACGCAAGTGCTCACGCATCGACCTGCCCCTCCTCACTTCTGGGCTTGTCAGTCTCTGCAGCCTCTTGAGTTAGACCACATCTGGGTCACCTACCCCTGCTATGCCCCCTGGGCCCTGCGCAGGCCAGAGAGCTCGGCATGAACGACCCGGGTTACAGTCAGAACCCAAACAGGGTAAGAACCAGTCTATTGCCTCAGCTCTAATCTCGTACTCGGGTCATCTGGCCACACGCTCTGTTCTAGATACCCAGTGCCGTGCAACAAACCGCCCCCGAAGTTAGTGGCTTTGAGCAACAATTTATCATTCTTCCTGAAGGTTCTGTGAGTTGCCTGGGCTCAGCTGGGCTCTTGCTTGTGGTCTCTCATGTCGTTGCGGTCAGATGGTGGCTGGGGATGGAGCCAGAGAAAGCCTCGACAGGGCTGGGAGTCCGAGAGGGCTCCTTCACTCACGCGCAGGCAGCCCGCGCTGGACAGGCTTGGGCTTCTGGCAGCACGGTGGCTGGGTTCCAAAGGGAGCGTCCCGAGCACAAGCGTTCCACAAGACTCAGGCAGAAGCTGCAAGGCTGTTTCTAACCCAGCCTTGGGACTCCCGGTGTTACTTCCACCACACTCTGGAGACTCCGGGCCAGCCAAGCTTGAGCACAGGAGGGGGCGGCCTAGGCCGCAGGGAAAATCTTTGGAGACGAGTGACCTCTTTAGGTTCATGGATGGCAGTGAGTGGACAGGGCAGGGGAGGCATTCCTTGCACCCTGGCGCCTGGCTGGCTGGGTCCTCGGGGCAGGGCACAGAGCTCCCTTCCCACTGCCACCCCACGGAGGCCCACCTGGCTCCTCGGCCAACAGAAACAAAACGGAGGTGGCCCTTACGGAGACTGGGCCTCTTGCTCTGGCTGTTTCAGCCCCAGCCCCTAAGACCCCTGTGTATGGTAAAGGCTCCCCACCACCCCCACCCAAAGGAAAGGCTCCTTCCCCAAGTGCTCTCCCGGGGCAGCCTTAGAGGGAGTGCAACCCGGAGGAGGCGAAGACTCCAAGTTCTAGTCCCTGAGTCTCTGCACCGACAACCAGCACAGTGGCTGCTGCTGTTTCAAACAGCAACTGAAGAGCAGCCTGCTGGAGGGGCGGACACATTCCACTCCAGCGTGTGCTCGTAGGACGCTTCAGAGGCCACTGGCGACCAGCTGCTCACGCCAGAAAGACTGGTCTCTGTTTTCAAGGTGTGCAGCCAGGAAAGCCACAGCACGACCCCACACAGGGGATGAATGCCAGGGTGTGTCACACACACCCCAAAGTAGGTGGGATTTGTTCTAAAATGTCATTATCCCAATGTGCTGCTTTGTGGGACAAACTGGCCTTAGAGGAGAGGGTGTGGACTCCTTGTAGTCCCCGTAGTTTTGGGTTTGGAATAACGACCTGCTGGAAACCTCTTTAGCCCCAGACGACTGGGCAGCAGCATGCTCCTCCAGAGGACAAACCACAGGCCCGATGGGCGCCTGCCCCGTGCTCACTAGGGCTGCTGTATCTGCTGCAGCCCGGGGTGGGGGCTCCTCCCAACGACATCCTAAGCAAATCAGCAAGGAGGTTTTTTGTTTCTAACTCTCTATTTAGACATAATTTCAAATTTACCAAAAAGTTGCAAGGATAGCATAAGGAATACCTGTGTATCTTTCACCAGTAGTCACCTACTGCTAACATTTTGTCACTTTTGCCTTATCATTTGCACATATTCTATTAATGTATCTGTATGCATGTATTTTTTTCCATTTGAGAGTAAGGTGCATACGTTATGATATGCATTTCTTAAATATGAGGGCATTTTCTTTTTTTTTAAAAAAACAGAGTCTCACTCTGTTACCCCAGCTAGAGTGTGTGGCATCATCATAGCTCACAGCAACCTCAAACTCCTGGG